AAATATAGTAGTTTGACGATAGAAATTAAATTAATTTACTTATATATAAATCACCTACGTAGGATTTACCAAAATTAATCGTTTTAAGAAACTATTGTTGTTATAAAATCATAAAATAGATAAAATAGATTTCATTTACAAAGTAGAAAAACTCATTTTAACTTCAACTTTACACGTAAAAATTACGAAGATTTGCTCAATATTCCGGATTTTTCTTATTTATAATCAATTTTTATTTTTATTTAATTAAGTAAGTATCGTAATTAATAAAATATTAGCGTGTAATTAAAGCTACGAGCCTCTGATCGGTAACGTTTCTACCATAAGGACATAGTAAGATGTTTTGTTTTCGACTACGAGTGACGTCAAATAAGCAACCAATGAGAAGCGTTTCTTCTCTATGAGGCAACCTGATAATCTAAGACCTTGGGCAGTGGTTGCATGTCATGAGGTTGTGTAAAGCGTTGCGGCGAATTCCGATAGGTGTGTGCGTTTCCTACTCCTATATTTCTTCGTTCCGTGGGTTATGGTGTTCGTTTATTCTAAATATTATCTTTGCGCATTAGTTTTCGGTACTGACGTTGACCGATTATCTAACGTTTTTCCTAAGGTTTTAACTGTTAAAAATTTTGACTAATCTTTGTGCCGAACGCGGATTCCTATGGAGTTTCACCCTTTCCTAATTCATTAGGTTATTCTCCGCCGTTTCATCTACGCTCCTGATAAAACTGCTATTTTGCTAGTCAATTATTCAATCGTTTCTTTCCTAATGCTTACCTTTAGAGCTTTTGAGAATGAAGCAATGTCATGCGTCATGTTTAATGTTCTCACCTATATTTTGAAAAACTGAACTCGAAGCTTTTTCGCCTAGCTTCCGCTGTTAGCACTATTTTATAGTGACGTTTTCTTGCTCAGTCACGCCGATTTATTCTATCATTGTCGCACCTGCGAGCTTGCACTTGGTTAACTAAAGCATTTTTGCGGGGTCAGCCAGCTAAGCTGGATGTTTGTTTGCTCGATACTTTTTAAGGAATCGAATAAGTCGTAATACCCTTACTTTCACCGAAGAAAGCAAGTATAATTCTTCCGAAGGACAAAGAAGGAAAGAGAACCGCTACCTAACTCGCGAGTTCGCGCCAAAGTGTATGTCTCAGCATTTATCGTTCTAACCCATTTTTAGCACAATTTCTGAGCGAAATTTCGATGTCCACTTCCTCAACAATAGCGTGGGCCCGCAGATTTTTGCAAACACTGCGTTTAAAATTGCGCTTCTGACAACCGTGTAAAGTTCCCAATAGGGGTAGAAATATGTCAAGATGTCGAGGGATCGCGAAGAGTCGTATGTGGGCGATCGGCACTGAGACAGATTCTACGGTTACAAGAAACCGTTTATTTGACACGAAAGATGTTTTACAAGGTTTTCGCGATCTTGGAAGTTGTAAGTCGATGGCGGCCTCGGAGTCTTCCTTTCCTTTCCAAGATAGTCCCAAATGAAAGAGTGTCTCAAGTTCGTAATGACAGTTCCCTCGACGTCTCGACGACTCTGGGAAGATGTGGTCGACTTCCGGTGTTGGGAAGATGTCGATCCGAAATCGGGAGACGGAGACGAAGATGGGCACGAGACACACACACACGCAATTCGCCAAACACTGGAAAATTTCGGGAGAAGAAGCCGTCGCGTCCTTGAATTCCCGAGGTTTTATTAATTTAATTTCCGACCTCGATTGCCCATTCTGATTGGTGACTTTTCCTCGTTCTCAAATTTTCTAAGTGGCTGACCACTAGTTACTATGCGTAAAAAATTATTTTAACGCGAATTTTAGTGAGGATTCAAACCTGTCCAGAGCCTCACAGAAGCACGACATATCCAGAACGGATCACCTAGAAAAATTCCCAGAGTTTTTTCACAGCTTGGATTCGATTTTAGGCTCCCCAGTGCAGTAGGCTAACTCTATTACTTCGAATATCCTGCAATTTAGGCCCAATCAATCTGGTTGACTTTTGGATTGACGGGCGGATGGCCGAGCGGTCAAGCCTACCTCTCTGGGGGACCCGGAATCGAATCCGGATGGGTTGAAAAATCCCCAGTAATTTTTCGGGGCCGAACGATAAGGGACGGAGGCCGGATATGTCGGCCTTCATCCCTCACCACCCGGCTGCCCCATTGTGGGCCTGGTCGAATCCAAAATGGGCCTGCTATAAGAGGCCCTCTTATTGCTCACAGGGCTGAAAGAGTAATAATAAAAATAAAAAACGCGGAAAGAGTAATAAAAAAAAGGGCGGAAAGAATTTAAAAAAGAAAAAAATAGAATGTCGATTTCATTTATGATAATGATTTTTAAATATTTTTATTATTGATATTAATAAATATTTTGCAATAATAGTTAACTAACTTTAAATATTTGGAACGAAGACGAAAATTTCATTATTATTATTATTATTTTTTTTTTTTTTTACTCTTTATTCGACAAGTCTTATATACGCTGCAGAGGGCGCACCGTTCTCTATTGCCCATCGGCTTCAGCATGAGTAGTTGACAATCTCGTTATTGTGACAAGTCGCGTTGTGTTAAAAAGAAAGTGAAAATGGCGGGAACTATATTAGAGAACTTAAGCGGTAAAAAACTAGCTGTTTTGGTCAGCTTCATTTTAATATGCCAAGTGATCTGTTTTCTCATAGGTGGATGCATCGGTGAGTACAAAACATTGCCTTTATCCTCATCAAATATCAAAAAATGCTTAATTAATTACACGAGATCGCGCTTTAAAAATAAAAATAAAAGTATATACATTGTCTTGATGCATATTTGAAATATGCNCAAAAATACTGACGGCTAGAACGGATTAATTGTATTTGCATTAATTTCTATGGGAAAAATTGCTTCGGTTAACGAACAATTCGGTTAACGAACGGACTCGTGGAACGGATTACGTTCGTTAACCGGGGTTCCACTGTACCCTGCACTGAGGTGATGTACGTAATAAACAAGGGAGCAATCCGAATCCCAACGGGAGCTCTGTACTTCAGATATACAGTGGGACCTCGGTATACGACCTTAATCCGTTCGTGGTGTTTGGACTTATACCGAATAGGACGTATACCATACCAACCTTTTCCATAAGAAGTAATGTAAAAATGATTAATCCGTTCTCATGTAAACAAAAATGGCTGGCTTTAAACACCTCGCTTTCCTCGCTAATTTCTGCTTGATTTTTCATGAAATCAGCATGTATCCTTTTAACTTTCTCGCAAATAATTTCTTCCGATACGCCGTCGCTGGCACACTGTTTTTCATTTATCCAAAGCAAAAGCAATTTCTCGACATGATCTAATGTCTTCGATCTCTGTTTAGAAATTGATTTAACCCCTTTCGCAACGTTAGCAAATTTAATAATGTCTTTATTTTTCACGATTGTCGATATCGTCGTTCTCGGAATACGGAATGCAACAGTTAAATCTCGTTAAATCTCGAACACGCGTGCCACCTTCATATTTCTCAACAATC